AGCATAAATGGCTTTTCAGAGGAACAATGTGGTTTGTAATCATCATCAATCAAGATAGCGCCAACTATAGTCAGGTGAATGAGAAACCCACACTTAGTCTCTACAGATTCAAAGTTATAAATATGTATTTTTTTTGCCAATACTATTTAGACTTTGTTGCAAGATAGTTATATATTAAGGTTCACGGAGGGGTTTGTTTGGTGATGAGTTTAGTACTTTGACAGGCTGTAACACTCCGCGCTGGTGGTTGTCATGTGTGTCCTACTTCAGCGCAAGTTTCAAATCAAATCATAAATCCAACTTTTTTAAAGTCAAAATATCAGGAAAGCTGGTTTCAAGGGATAAAGCCAAATTAGTAAATCCAAGGGGAACTTTAAAAGAAGGCTTCAAAACCTTTACTTGTTATATAATTGGGCAGAACTTTCTCAGTTTGCGGTGAAAGAACAGGGTCATGTCTCTGTTTTGTGATATGAGGTTTCCTACCAAATCTAACAGAGTGGAACGGTGTATCTTAAATAGATGTTGTAAGTGTTATGTTGCTCAAAGATCTGATCATTTCAGACAAAATGAAAGGTGGCAAATAAGGCCAAACAGTCATATACTGTACCACCAAGATGTATTTGGCAGTGAAAATATGACCGTCCTTCTTTAGATACTGTTTAAAATATCAAGTTAAACACATGGCACAAGTTCATGTTTGACCTTGGGAGCAGTATGAGAAAAATAATAAGCGCCTTGAATTCTTAGAGCTTTTCAACACTTTCTACAGAGAACTTCAAAACAAACTTTCTAAATATAATTGTCCTGTATTCACTGCATCTCGAAGCTATTTCCTCTCATCATTTTGCCTTTGCAACCAACCATTATCTTAACAAAAGAAGCTGATCGTGTTGATTACTCAACCTCACAGTCGCACTGATATGTATTCATTAAACAGGAGGCATAAGACATGTTGAAATGATTGCAGTAACATTTGTGTTGAGTCACACCACTTTTACGTCACAACTGAAAGCAAAATCACTTCTATAAAGTTCAAATAAGTACAGTGGGGGATAGGCAGATGGCAGACAGACTTTGCTGCCGAAAAAAACAATCTTTTCTGGTGACCTTTCTGTAACCTCCAGCTCGTTTCTCCCTCTCGACCGACTCTTTCGTCAGTTTCCTCCATTCAGGCAGAGGATGCAGCGAGCACTCTTTGCTCAGAGCTGCGCTGCTGATGCTCTGAGCTCAGCTGCTGTGTTCATATGGGATGCGGTGGTAAAGGTCATTTCTAGAAGTTCAACATTAGTGATCGGAATTTCAAGTGAACCGTGTTGCCCACATTTTGTGACTCTGCTCTCTGCAGGGAGTACAAAGCACTCCTCGGGTGATCTGACGGGCACGGCCATATGTCTCTGGATTAAAAAAGGATACAGAATGTAATGGTGCGAGTAACTGGTGCCCCTGAGTTTCAGTCTCATTTATATTAAGTGCTCCTCATTGTCAGATGCCTCATGTTAATCATGTAATACTTCCCTGGCCATGAGTGTGTGTGAGTGCCAGTGTGGACCAGCTTAACCCACGAGTAAGAGTTTCATCAGTTCAATTTAAAACTAATCTTGTGATCAGGATGTGAGCGTATGGCGAAAGCGCCAGCTCAGAAGAGTGCGACTCAACATCTGTAATGCGTTTTTTCCTTTGTTTTGGAGTATGGCTCGTTATACTTCTTTGGAACACTTGCAAAGCTAAACAAATCAAAGTCACAAAGCGTAAAGAAGGAAAAAAAGGGGAGGAAGTGGGTTTGGTTTACCCGAGGGGGTGGCTTTGTTGTGTGGAAATAAATCCTGCTCCTGATTAGACAAGCTCTGCATGGGGTTCAGGCGCTGTGATGCCAGGCATTTCAACTGTTCATGAGAGGGGCATTATAATTGAAACATTTAATTTATTCTTCTTCAATCTTATATGGACTTGTCATCCATGGCCCTTTATATGTGGATTGCATAAAGCATGCAAAATCTACCTTGAATTTATATTTTTTGTCTATAGCGTACTCTGTGTATAGAAGAAAAAAGAAAAAACCTTTGAAGCATAAATGTTTGAAATTCCAAATATCTACCATGGTAAATATGCATGTGTTCTGAATATTTCTAGCCTTAGTTACATTTCATATGTTTAGTAGCAAGCCCTGTACGCTTTGCCATCTGGCCTGTATGTTCACAGAAAAGATTGGCATCAAACTTGGGCAAGAAAGGATTTTTCTTCTCCGGCCACTACTTGCTATGAAACGCAGAACAGGAGTAAGAATGATCAAAATGCTACTCTGTCCCGCAGCCTATTTATTCTCCTTAACCTTAACAGTGACCTAAACGCTAGACATTTGCCAAACTTCAGGAACATATTTTAAAATACGAAACAACTTAAAAACAGTCCCGAGTACTGCAGAAAGAAAGAAGAAGCATGTGGGAAGTCAAGTGGGCATAGAGAGTATGCTTTTTCCAGTACAACTTGTTTTTCTATGGTAGAAAGCCCTCAATCACCTAAAATGTCCTGGAGCATGACACTGAGTCTGACCTCTGACCTTTCACCAGCTGGGATCAATACATTAACACACTCATCATGTTATCACATTGATTTCAAAACAAGCCAGGGGATACTGTTAATTTGTATGTGCATACATTATTTTTCAACTCCGACAAAAAAGTCTAGAAACTCGAAATCCAGTCATCCAATCTGAACAACAAATTGAGTACTGACAAAGTTAACAGTTTCTTATCTAGAGAAAGCTCACGTCAGATTGTATTTAGCCAGTCACTCTGTCAAAACAATTACTTGCTTATGTTAATATGTCTAAATCTAGCCAGAAGGCATAGCTAAATAGACTGATGCACTAAGAATATCCTCACATGCAAGATCTGTGGAAGCGTGTAGAACCTCGGAAGATCCGACCTTTACTGCTATTCTTGAAATATGTAGCTTTATCCAACCAACATGCATGACATACTGCACACATGCATCAATTCACGTATGCTGCAAGTCGTTTCTAGCCCTTTAAATGCTAAGCGAGGGGAAGTAAAACAAATTAAAGTGTAGGTTTTCTTGTGTGTATTTATCTGTGTGTGTGTGTGTGTGTGTGTGTGTGTGTGTGTGTGTGTGTGTGTGCATACTCCAATGTGGCTCTTGTGTGTCTTCAGCGTCAATCTTTAAGTGTGTGAGTCATCCCACTATTAGGCTGTCTCTGAAGCACAACACGCAGCCATAATCTGCTGGACACCGCGTTGTAATGGCTCTCTGTGAGACAGCTAATAAGTTACACACCAGATTGCGGACTGTAATAAGCCCGACTGAGTCACTTTTCTGGGCCACATCATTATTTTATCAACCCGCTGACTGTGACCCCAGGGTGGGCTGCAGAATTGATGGGACAGGGTTCGGGACATGATGTGACTAAAAAGAAAAAAACCTGCAGAAGTCACAAACCTGGAAAATGGACTTAATGTAGTTCAAATATTGGGTTATGTGCTAATGTAAGGCTCTTATCCATTGTTTAATCATCCTTTAATTGAAGTTGAGTAACCTCAGTGGTGATTAGCAGTGGATTCTTTGCTCTGAAAAACATAATAAATCAAACTGTTGATTTACTCCATGAACACAGACTGTCACTTTTTCCTCCGGTGATCATTTGTCACATGTGATGGCTTGCCGGTTTATTTCCGCTGCAATGAATGACCAGGTAAACCCCTTGAGGTTTTATGTTGGTGCAAACTGCAGGTCCAACTGAGAACAGCTGCCATTAATATTCTCATTCAGGAGCAAGGGCAAGACATTGATCCAGAGCTCTCCCTTTGCTCGGATGTGTGTCTGCTATGTGTGTTTGTGTGTGCCTGAGTTGAGAGTTAAAGGGGTTGCTGGCTCTCACAAAAGCTGAAAGCTAGGAATTACAAGCAGTTGTTCGCAGATAGCACACTGTTGAATGGCCCTAATTGTGTTGCTGGATGTTAGCCACATATCTGGTTCCAGGTGGAGAGGTAATTCAACAAACCAAGGAACGATAGGCTGGGCTGGCCGGGGAGGTGAGGAGTGGAGTATGGCAGCAAGAGGCTGGAGCGTTTTCAGCACCATGGAGAGCCCCGGCGCAATATGCGCTGTATCACGGCAGCGTGCGCGGTGACCAATCCTCATTTCCCACTCCGCTGGCCGTCACGGAGGCTTTGCTGCTGCTGTGCCAGCTCTCTGGTGACACTGATAGGATTTTCCCAAGAGAGAGCGCTGAACCAGCTCATTTAACACAATCAGACAAGAAAATCTCGTCTTGTTTAGGAATTTCTTTACATTCCTGAGAGTTTCTGTTGACTAGATGAGGGGGTGTATGCTTTATAACACACTGATCGTTAAAAGATGAAGTCTTGCCAGCCAAAAGAGGCAGGAGGACCGGGTGAGGAGGGGGGTTGTTGGGACCTGGATTTCATGCCGAGAGCCCGGCGAGGGATGTGCGTGTCTCACTATGTTATCATCTCAGCCCCTCTGCTGCTTGAGCAACCCTGGCACATCCGGGCAGAGGACTCCTAAGCTATTCATCAAACACTATCCTGTTGTTTCCGAGCAGGTATAGCCCCTGCACGGCTTTATGAGGCTACCAAAAGCTGGCATCTGGTCATATTGAATGATTAATCACATCCCGTGTTGCGCCACACAATAGGCAGTGTAGTTAAACACTGTCACAGACTGTCATTGACATCGCCCTGCGCTATGAGGCTGCACCTCACACATATCTTTCTGCCTGTAAATTGTGGGGCTCGCTCTCTATTATTGATGCATTTTTCCTCAGCTACTCACAAACTAATTCAACATTAAAGCACACAACTGCCACCCTCTTTACAGTTCTATTCACTCAGTCCCAATGCATATAGTGACGGATACAGCGTTGCGCACACGGAACAACCAAACTTGTCAAATACATTAAAACGTATTTAAAGGACCGTGGAGCCCCTATCCCGCATAAGGCAATACAGCCTGCACCTTACCTGTAGTATTCCAAAGCAAGAGGGCAGAAAGGAAAGGAGATTCGTGCAAATATGCCAGAGATCTCCCTCGCAGCGACGAGAGACAACTGCGCACTTTTAGTTCCACTCCTTTCTCGGCAGGGTTTAAAGGCTTCAGATTAATTACGGGCTGGTGTATCAGAAGCAGCTGTGTTTGAAGCGACGGGTAGCGTGTCCCAACTCTCAGCAACGGCTCGCCATCCTTCAGCTCCTCCGGCTGCTTTTCCTCTCAGCGCTGCTCTCCTGCTCTGCCCTATTTCAACTCCCCTCACTCCGCTCCGCTCCTGACGTCAGCTGCTGCGCGCCAAATGCGGTGAGGCTGCATCTGCGGATTCATCACACAAGAAAGCGACACCTGTATGTGCATGCATGCGCGGTTGTGTGTGTAACTATGTGTGTGTAAAGGACCACAGAATAGCAGAGAAAATTGTTTGCAGATGCAGACTTTTTTCTTTTTCTTAATTTCAGGGTTGGTAACATATGATTTCCGGATTTGTCTGAAATGTGGATTTGAGAACATACTTTGGTTGGGGTCAAATTATGAATGACATTGAGTTGATTTGCGAGGTTGCAGTTAAGGGGATGAATGATGTATGTGTCTGTGCATGCATTATGTAATAAGAAAAAGAAAAATGAAAGGAAAATAAATATTTGTAAATGCAAATCAGTTTGTTACAATAATTAAATTAAGTCACTCATAATATCTGCTGAATAAAATACTATGTTAGATACTGATGGAAAGGAACACATATTGTTTTTCTGCCACATTTAGCTGTTATCATGGTTTTGAATGAAAGTGTGTCACTACTACACTTATTTGTCACTACTAAGATGTAAGTCTTTACAAACTGTTTTGTATGCAATACAATTGTGCTAATTATTGTTCACATTTCACAATGTTCACATTTACATTGGCTATGTGTTAAACAAAAGACAAAAATCGAGGAAAGAATCACAGAGTGGTGACATGATGTGGTTGTTAAATGTTGTCAAAAGTATCATATGCATATTTTATTTGTTTTTCAAAGATTGTTTTCCGCTCAGACCCTGTAAAGCTTTATGAAAGGACTGTCGGCTGTATGACAAACTCTATAAAGCATCACTAATCAACAAGGCAGCAATGATGTTCACAGAGGAATTAGACAGAGGACCGGCAGGTGTGTCTGAAACACTTTCACAGATGAGCAAGTTTACAGCGGCTTACCTGCTTATATTTAGGTTCAAATCTTTAAAGACACACACACAGTACTACAGTACATCTCTCTCTCTCTCTCTCTCTCTCTCTCTCTCTCTCTCTCTCTCTCTCTCTACCCCTTTGTGTTAAAGTAGGAGAGAGAAGAGCACATGGCACAATTAGGCCTACATACTGTATCCCGAAAAGATGGTGGTGTCCCCATCAAAATTGCATGTGTCAATAAAATATTCATTCTTGATGTAGCATTTATCAAGACTGTGAAAAAAAGAGAGAGAATAACGGGGAGGAAGACAATAGTACAGAAAGGAAGTGTCATGCATTTGCTATACGTGAGTCCTTCAAATGATTTAGGATTAGACAGAAAAAGTAAAGAGGATAAGAAAGAAAGAAAGAAAGAAAGAATAATAGGAAAAAATAGTAGATATTATATGTAAAACAGCACAAGCTGCATCAAGAGGTTTTGTCTGATGAGATGAGGAATGGCCTCGCACAATGCTGCAACAATTTGTAGTTGGAAAACTGTCTCTTCAATTTGATTAATGGTCATGAATTATTGATATGAACCACCCCGGTTACACAGGCTCTTCCTCGTCTTTTAAGGCATTTTTTTACTTCATTGGAAAAAATGACAAATATGAACATGGATTTAGTTGAAAGAGGGGTGAATCAAAAGGGTGGGGGGTGAAGACATGTAGATGTTTACAGTCTGGTTTGACACTTTAAAAGCGCTCAAAAAGTAAAGGGTTTAAACATTTGTATAATTGAACGATTGGCTGTATTGTGTATGAGGTTCAAATGCAGTCTTTATTAAAGCATGGACAGTTTAATGGAAGTGGAATAATGATAACTTTTTACAAGATAATAAACATGTGTTGCCACACATGTTTAAATCCTCATACAGAAACAGAAACTGTTACAGGGTCAGATATAACATACATTCTGTCCATGATCGCATGAGGTTTACACAAAACATATTTGCAAAATGCAGAAATTCTGTTCTGTAGAAAAAGATAACCTGTTGCTTTACTCTTATTATTATCATATAACTTCTCAAAACTCTCAAAAATCTTGTGCCAAAAAAAGACATGCATGTCTCGACAGTCGGATTTTTATATAAATCCCCAGTAACAACAGGATCCTTCTTCAAAAACAACACATTTGTACTACCTCTGCTGACATGTAATCTTTTTCAACAATTTCAACCAAAATGTGTTTCAGAGCACTCAGACAGTTGTCCTGTAGCTTTCTCTGAGGGCTTTAAAGTAGAATTGCCGTAACTTTTCAGTGGTCTTTATTGTTTGCAATATCAACAACAGTCAAAATCAACAGAACCTGAAAATCTTTCTTTGCATATTTTCCTTGTGATAGCAGCTTTATCAACACAATCACTCAGCTCACATCAGTGCATTTCCCCAAGATGCAATAAAGCAACAAACATCCTGAATAATCTCAATATTCTGAAAAGATGGCTTGTTGCTATATCACTGTGATGTAGAGTACCATAGTGGATACAGCACAGCTGTCTGAAAGTGTTTTCCTCCATCTTGAAGTTTGCTTTCCCGATCAACACACATCTTAAAGCTTAACCGAACACCTATTTAACATCACATTTCAGACGTGCAACCATTAATACACACACAGACACTCACAAGGTGCTCACACACACACACACACACACACACACACACACACACACACACACACACACACACACACACACACACACACACACACACACACACACACACACACACACACACACACACACACACACACACACACACACAGGGCCCTGGCAGTGGATATTTTCTGATTCAAATTATTGACAAACGCATATCAGATCTATTCATAAAACCAACAGCTCTCTTCGCAACGCAGAGACAAACTCAGACCGCTGTAGGCGTACCCTGAGTGGCAAATCAATCACGCCTAAATGGTGCAAATATGAATCGACCCTCCAGGGGCTCATATAGACGACATCCCGTGCATGGCATTACAAGAGGAACATCAAGCGCATTTCACCCACAGCTACACCCACGGCTGAACAAACTGAGACTAGCATGTCGGGACTGAGCAGCCACAGCAGTCATTATCTCTGCCATCATTTGCTCAGGAGTGTTTGTACTTGCAGTCATACTTCAGGAACATAATATCCTCTCCCCTCAACCTTAAAGGCACTCAGGCATGTGTCAGCACTAAAAGGTCTCTCTCACGTAGCTGCTCCCCCAGAGACAGACACACCATGCAAGAGATAGAGCCATAACTCTTCTTTATGTCCTTTTTACTCCAGCTCACCACTGCAAGTATACTGGTGTGATTCACATGTCTGCATCATATACAGTAGAAGGGATACTCATTTATTCTAAACTCTTTTTAATCGTTGTGTAGGATCTTTGTTCAAAAGCGTGTGCAGATATTGGCAACTGTTTTTAGAAAATATACAAGAAACCACTCAGTACTGATATGATTTGACAACACTATTGCCAGAAAATAACATTAATACTGGACATACGTAAAAGTATGGTATGGGTAAGCCAACTAAACATCATTATTATCCCTTTGCTGTTGTTATGATCTAGGGGCATTAAAAAAGCCACCAAAAAGTCTGATTAAAAGGATATAAAAATCATTCAAATTCATCCCTCTATTGTTTGAAAGGTTTTTTGTTTTAATGACCAAAACACACAGATAGAGGTTACGAGTTAATTGAAAAAATCTAAAAAGAAAACACAGTCCAACCGCATTTTTTTTTTTTTTTCCTATGCTGTTTTTTCAGCTGCAAAGCATTTTATCACACCAATAAATGTCATGTAAATGTATCACTATTATAATTCTTAATAGCCCATCATATAACTTAACCAGCACTGCACCCAAACAACACTTAATCATTGCAGATGCAGTATAAGCACAGGTTTAGTGCTGGATTGAAGGAGAATTAATGAGTCTCTTTTCTTTTCTTCTTTCTTGTTGAATCACAAACTTTCCGACCAAAAAGACAAGGTCAGAAAGTTGACTTGAGGTAGAGCGTGATAGAAAGAGCAAAATATACATTTGCTAACCTTGAATGCTTCGAACATATTTCTGCCATTCTTTAAGAGGCCTGAATCCCATTGGACAGTCATTGAGAAGGTCAGCACAATTGGGGTGAAAGGTCAATTCAGCTTTTACTTAACTAAACTTTTGCACAGGCTACATTGATTTTGAAAAATCTATATAATGTGTGCTGCTATGGCTCATGATGCACCTGCAGGAGAAAGCACAGCGAGTCCCTCCTTAAGAAATAATGGCACAAATGTTCTAACTTGAAATATATTTCTTATTGTCACACAAACAAGCAGCTGCTAAACAACTGTGTGCACTAACATGCTCTATGACAATGAATGCCAAGACTCAAACTATGCTCTCTGCATACAAATTGGCGAGTCCTTTTCACAAAAACACAACTAACCAGTAACTTCCTCTGTACTTTGCAGAAGAGTGTGGTCAAAGAAAGCTGTACTGTATGAGCTGCAGTGCTGTTGTTTATTGAAACGACCTGCCACTAGAGAGAGAAAGGGGGGGGGGGGGTGGAGTGCAGACAAAGTGTTGAGCTGGCTTCTCTTTGTAGCCTCCAGCCATGAGGATTCTCATGGACATATGAGGGCTTTTGATTTGGTATGCAGCCTCTTTCTGTACCTCTTTCCCTCTCTCTCTCTCTCTCTCTCTCTCTCTCTTTCACTCTGCACACAGACAGAAATACATGCATGCACCCTCATACGCAGAAACATGCTCAGGTTACTGCCCAGAAGTACATTTATCACTCTCGGCCCCAAGCCTGTGCACACACACACACACACACACACACACACACACACACACACACACACACACACACACACACACACACACACACACCTTATATAATAGTCTTTGTTTCCTCCTTCTGCCCGGCTCCAATTTGATGGCAGTGCGGCCGCCAGGTTCCCCAGATGACCATTGAGATAGAGCTAACAGATGAAAGCAGCAGTAAGACGCTGGCGG